GTGTGTGTGTGTGAGAGAGAGAGAGAGAGAGAGAGAGAGAGAGAGAGAGAGAGAGAGAGAGAGAGAGGCTTAAATATGCTTCCAGTGAATCTCAGCGGGGAGCGGAGAGAGAGAGGAAGAGAGGAGCTTATACTACATACTACGTTCAGTACGAGGAAGTCAAGTCAATGTGAAAACGGAAACAAGGGACTTCAGAACTTGAAAGGACCTGGGATGCTAGGAAAGTAGAAACAGACCTGCCAAAAAAAAAAAAAAAAAAAAGGATGAGGTTCAGCCTGAGTAGGATTAGGCGCCCAATGCATGGCCCCCTTCCACCAGACAATATTGAGGCGGGCCACAATAATTTCGTCCCTCTCCATATTCATGCCTTTTTTTGCCCCCTTGTGTGCCCTTTCGTATTCTTTTTTTTTTTTGTTAATAAATTAATTTATCTACTGCAAACTCAACTTTAGGCAGCTCTTTCAAATGCCAGACAACTAGCAGTTCTTCCAGAGTCAGCTGGGAGGCTGCCATTTCTGCAGGCAAGCTACTGTCTTCCCCCGAACATAACGCACCCTAATAATAAATGCGTGGAGACTTTTTTTTTTTTTTTCCGTGCAGATACAGTCAAAGTGAGGATGTGTTGTGTTTGGGGGAAGACGGTAGTACAGGCTGTCAGATTATGAATGCCACTAAGGTCAGCTTTCAATTTAGGTTTAATGAAACCTGTCTCCTCTATATTGCATCAAAGGAAACCCCCCCACTCCTCCCCCCCGTCCGCCCCCCTCCCGACTGGTGCTACGTCTGTGCTCAATCATCACCATGCCCAAGCATTCCTGAATAATTGCTGAACCCCTCTTTCACCAAATGCTAGACTACATGCCAGGCGCCACTGGAGCTACGTCCATGCTAACGAAGCCCGAACATGACCATGATTACGACCAGGTTCATGCATTTGAAGCATGTGATCTATAGTTCTGTATTCTAAGTTTATTTTTCCAAGAATCAAATCAGACAAAAAACAAATACAAGATTGTTTTACAATTTTATTAGTATTTTATTCTATAGTATAGAATTATTGCATAATTACAATATGATGTCATAATTTCATTCCAATTATATGAAATTATTCAATCAGCCTGGAGCTACGTCCATGCTAACGAAGCCCGAACATGACCATCATTACCACCAGGTTCATGCATTTGACGCATGAACTTCGCCTTCACTCAAGCCTAACGTCATGCAGAGAAAAATAGATGCAGTTACCACGTCTGCGGCCACCGACACAGTAACAAGGAGTAAAGGACAACAGCAACTTTATATAGTGACGATATATATATATATTTTCCATCTGGTGTGGGTGAGTGATAGTCTACTTTGATTTTGGTTAAGGTAGATTATCATTTACAGTGTAATCAGTGAGGGGATTCTGCAGACTGTTGAGGGTTCAGCCTCCTGATGAGTCGGTGAAACTCCGACGAAACAGTTTGTCACAGCCCCTCGTTTGTTGTCCTCTTCTCCTTCTCCCTCTCTGCCTACGGTTTACCGGGCAGTTGTGGTAGAGGCTGTATGCTAGGCCTCAGGGGGTGCCTGTCGTTGTACTCAACCAGTGGGGAGATCGGATGGCTTGTGACAACCCCCCAAGGACGGTCTCCTCCAGGGGCCATCATTTGTGAACTCCTTTTTTTGCATCTTAAACCACCAGTACTTGGCCCAGCTATAGATGTTGAGCCTGAAAACAGGCTGCGTGCTGTTTTGCGCCGATCCACCAGCCCAAGAAAAAAAACTTGTTTTGGCTGGCGGCGCCAGCCTCTGAGGGCCGGTACCCCGAGCCTCCGGAAGTTGCGGGCCGCCCGCTGCCGATGTATGGGCCAAGTACTGGTGGTTTAATCAGATTGCAAGTCGAGCCCTACAGCGGTGCGACCCAGACCTGTCTCTAGACCTGACCTACACCCACCCATCCCCCTTTTGAGGGTCTCAAATGAGTGACCCCCCCGGGTGCTGCCATAGGGACACCCTGAATTCTTGAGGACGATCCGGACACAGGAGGGCCCACGGATTTGTGGTCATTCCCCACCTCTGTGGGTGCTCTTCTACTATCAATGTGACCCACCCTCCCCTGCCTAAGATGAGGCCCCTACCCAGAGACCCTTCCCCCAATTCACGCCCCAATCGACCCCCTCATTGACAATGGGAACGCAGACGGGTACCAGCCCGGATGAAGCCCAGCCCACAAGCATCCTAAGATATACATGTGGGGAAAAAAAAAAAAGATATACATGTGGCCCGCTCTTGGGAATCGTATATGCCTAACACCCAACCGTCACTACTACTCAAGGGGGGCGCAGAGAGCGGAGCCAGACTGGAACCAGGGTCGTACAATGTGTAAGCATGGACTGTTGCAGGTGTACCATGAGGCCGGGAAACTACCATAGTACCCAGACACCCACCCATAACACACCCACAGAAAAGTGCGGACGGAAAAAAAAAAAAAAAAAAAAACAAGTGCAGACGAACAAGGGGGTGCACAGACAGGCCCACAATCTCTACTCTACACAAATTCCTACCACCACGATCTGATTTTGAAGCGGTGTCTGCTCTTATCAGCATCGCTAGCACTGGAGGGATCTGTTTCTTCCAAAAAAAAATAAAAAAAATAAAAATTGAACTCGAGATTGCTAACAAGTACGTAGACATACTCCAGCGAGGCCCAAGTTGTTGAGCTATGTTATGTTGGTGCATAGCTACAATCTTCCCCTGAATACAACGTACGGTCTGTATAGCTGAATTTGGTGTTATTTTTCAGTCTAAGGGTCTGATCCCACCACTACACTACCACTGCAGTCGCGAAAAAGGACTACAAAGATGTCAGCGGCCGTGGCGGGACGGAAAAGAGAAACTGGATCCCACGAGGGCGACTTCTTCGGTTGTTGTCCTGGACCCACGGCGGTTATTTGTGGGCTGTTGCAGAGGGCGGACGTTTTCGCCAACCGAAATGCCACACAACAGTGTGGTCCACGGACATTCCTGATGCTGCAAATGGACGAACGAGAAAAAGAAAAAGAAAAAGAAAAAGAAAAAAAAATTGCTCCCTCTTTTTTGCTGCAGAGATGCCCTCACCGTCTACAGAAAATTGTAGTAACTACGCTTGCACCCTTCGCGGACGTGCTGCCAACGACACACCTAAACGACAGTGTGGCAATTTTTTTTTTTATTTTTTTTTTTTACAAATGCAAAATATTTCGGCTGCCGCGACGAAGGCGGAAAGTGGTGGGATCCGAAAACTACACTGTAACTGGGCTCTAGTGTAGTGGTGGGATCAGACCCTAAATTCAGCTATGATCACCGTACGTTGTATTCGGGGGAAGATTGTATCAAGAACCTGGCGCGTTTGACGACCAGGTTCAGGAAAACCCCACTGGCGCTACGGTTACGGTAAGCTACCAGTAGCATGAATCTGGTCAGGTACGCGTCCACACACGGACATAGCAGCAGTTCGCTGCCTTGCCGGGCAATGTTACGTCGACCAGGGTTGCCGGCGTTCGGGACAGGCCGAACGCCCGAGCCCGAACGCCCGAACGGACGGGACCGCTTCAACGGCCGAACCCGAACGCCCGAACGTACAGGACCGCTTCGGAAGGCGTTCGGCCGTTCGGGCCGAACGCGGACCAAAAAAAAAAAAACAGTTTTCAAAAAATTCCGAAAAAAACATATGTTATGGCGAAAAATAAACTAAACAACATTTGCTTGGGCACTACATCCAAATTCTTTACCAAATTTGAATTAAAAATCAAATACAGAAAATAAACACTATGATAAAAATAAGAAAAAATAAAAAGAGAATTAAAATGAGTGAGTGTGCCAAAAGATGGTGGGGTGTCACGCGTCCTACTAGCGAGTGGGCTAGCTGGTAGGATGGGAATAGAGCACAGCAGCAGCAGAGATGGTGGCTCTGCTGCAGTAAGTCTTGCTGGAGTGGGGACAAGGGGATTGATTGGGGGGTCTGTTTAAATCATGAAGATTGTTGTAGACATGTCTGAAGTCGTTCCAATATCTCAGAGTCAAAGCCGGGTAATGGCCCCGGTATCTTAACTTTCAAAAAGAAGCAGCTCTAAATTCTTAGTAATTTTCTAGCCTTATTTTCATGGAATTTTTTGATGATGTTCTGAACGTGTCTGTTATGGGATGCTGGGCCCGGTTCCCAGTTGGTGCCTATTTGTGAGGATATGGTTGTATTTGTGGGACGCTGGACCCGGTTTCCAGCAGGTGCTGCTCCCCACCAATAGATGGAGCTTGTGTTAAAAAAAAAAAAAAAAAAAAAAAAAAAAAGAGTGAGTGTGCCAGCACCTTTTCGACACGGCCATCTTTGCCGATTTTTAATTATTTTTTGGCATTGACAAATGCCCTGAAAATTTACAGATATGTAGTTTACATAATCAATAACTCATTAAAGAATTTGCAAAAAATAATAATTTTTTTTAGGCCCCGAAATAAAGTGAAAACAAAAAGTTAAAAGTGAAAAAAAACAAAATAGTGAGTGGGCGAGCACGTTTTGACACCCCCATCTTTGACGATTTTTAATGTTTTTTTGGCTTAGCAGAATGGCTTCAAAATTTATATGCGTGTAGGTTACATCATAGAGAACTCACAAAAAAAAATTCAGAAAAACAACTTATTTTTAGGCCCCAATTTTTTTTTTGGTGGGGGCCGAACCTGGAGGTGTTCGGCCCCCGAACCGGACCCCGAACGCCGGAACGTTCGGGGGCCAGCCCGGGGGCCCCCGAACGTTCGGTCAGGTAACCCTGACGTCGACCAAATTTTTGTCTGCCGCCCGCCGCGGGCGCCCGGCATGCATGCCCCGCGAGGCTCGCGCTGCTGCCGCCGTAGTCCCACCGGTCCGCGCCATGCGCTCCAGAGCGAGCACCTTCTTTTTCCTCAACTGGGTAAACACCAATGAGCCCTCCCCCTTGCGGCAAGGGGGGGCGCGCGCTCCGCTGCTTTCCGCTCAGTGGAGGTGACATCCGGTCGGCTGAGCTGTCAGCATAGGGATTCCCTGTCTGTGTGGGACAAGGACCGGGAGAGAGAGAGAGAGAGAGAGAGAGAGAGAGAGAGAGAGATGGCGTTGATTGGGAGTGTCGCGCACGTCTCGACCGGGGCTGTCTTTGCCCGCGGCCGCACGCCGGCGGTAGAAGACACGCCGCGTGAGTTACCTGCATCAAGTTTCAGAGGAGCGCAGCTATGCTGTCGCCACGTCATCGGCCTGCGGAACGTTGATCTCCGAAGGCGGCCACGTGGCAGGAAATTATCTCTGGAGGAGTTGTGCGGAAGTCAGAAATGGAGGTCCTTTCCCCCCACCACCGCCGCCGCCGCCGCCGCCGCCGCCGCCGCCGCCTTGACAGCGCCGCGATGGGCGCTCAGGAATCCAAAGAAGATATTAGGAGATGTTAAGTGGGAGAGAGCGGAGGGGTGCCCCTTGGTGATGGGCATACGGTCGAGATCGGGACCCGGCAGGTGGGTCTCCTCCAGCGCATTTTCCTCCCTCTCTCTCTCACGTCGGGATCTCTCATCAATGTCCGGCGACTAATACGATCGCCCTTGTTAACACAACTCCTCCCTCCTCTCCTTCCCCCCCTTCTTTCTGTCTCTCTCTCTCTCTCTCTCTCTCTCTCTCTCTCTCTCTCTCTCTCTCCCNTCTCTCTCTCTCTCTCTCTCTCTCTCTCTCTCTCTCTCTCTCTCTCTCCCCCCCTCTCTCTCCCCCAATACCTGCTCCCAAAGCCTGTTTTTTATTTTTAATAACTCAGGAAATCAAAGTATGACGATTAACTTTCAGTCTGCTAAGGGATAAAAAAATAGGTGGCAAACTATGAACAACTACAAACGACTATCTAGTATCTACTTTTAATAAATCAATAAATCAAAGTATGAGCTATCTACCATGACCCAAACCTCTTTTATGACTGTTTTGATGACTGTTGACGACTGTTTTGATGACTGTTGATGACTGTTTTCATCACTGTTCTGTTTCGACAATGATGTTGTACAAATGTCTTTTTTTTTTTTTTTTTTTTTTTTTTTTTTTTTTTTTTTTTTTTTTTTTTTTTTTTTTTTTTTTTTTTTTTTTTTTTTTTTTGATGTTGTACAAATGTCATGATCGTATCATTCACAATTTCACACAGCTATCTGCAGGCTTGTTGTAAACATGTATCCTCAGGGTTGGGGTTTTAAGCCTGGCCGGAGATCCCGGCTGATCCCCTCAGGCCGTGGGTAATGAATGATGTGAGGGACGCTGCGCCCATTTGCCAGCATATAATGATATCTTCCTTTTTCTCAAAAAAAAAAAAAAAAAAAAAAAAAAGGTGGAAGGAAAAGCGATCAGGGTGAATGGAGTTGTGAAATCCATCTATTACGACGAACCAAGCTGGAATATCGATGAAGATGAAAGAAGATGGGCACTTTTATTTTTTATGAAGATGAAAAAGCAAAATGTGCAAAAACAAACAAACAAAAAAAAAAAACAAAAAAAAAAAACAAAGAACTAAAAGAAAACGCAAAAATTACGACTTTTTTGCGCTGTACCGAGCAAAGTATTGAGTTCTCAGCTCAGGATCCCGTCTGATCGGAGGGGAGAGCAAGCAGGAGGGAGGGAGGGAGGGAGGGAGGGAGGGAGGGAGAAGGGCAGAGAGGAGGGAGGGAGGGGCGTAGAAATACGAATGTTACGTCTAATGAATGGCACGAGTAGACAGACGATCGAATGGAATGCTGAAGATGACGTGTACCACATTGGATAGAAGAGGGGCGAAGGGCCCTTCACCAATAAAAACTGCGACCGACCGTATAAGAGGCCCCGTGATCTTATACAGGTGCCTTCGCACTAGAGTCAAGAATCTTGGATCTTCTTATGCAGAAGACTCTTCAAGAATCTTATGCAGAAGACTCGTCAACAAAAAAAGAAAAGAGAGAAACGAAAAAAAAAAGGAAGACGAAGGAGGGGACACACAATCTAGCTTGGATGACGGCGTGGCTGCCGTCGAAACGCTGCGTCGGGACGGCCTTTCCCTTTTTTTTTTTTTTTTTTAAATAATTTGGACTATTTATCGATTTATGCGTGTCATCCTTGCGCAGGGGCCATTGCTGATCTTCTTCTTTCTCTGTATCTTTCCAATTTTAACAGATGTCCCGACAATTTGCACTCGTCTAGTCGTAATGAAATTGATAGCACCTAATATTGAGGAAACACCCGATAAATGAAGACTAAAAATAGCTAAATCCACAGCTCCTCCGGAATGACTGGTTATACCCCTTAAAGGTGGGTAGACAGCCCACCCAGGGCCAGCACCTACTTCCACTAAAGCAGAACTTAGAATAAGTAATAATGATGGTGGTAATAACCAAAAACTGATATTGTTTAGTCGTGGAAAGGCATAAATTACAAGGTCAAGTTAACGCCGTGGTAAGAACCTATTCTGAAGTCAAACGTGCTTACTTCTTTTATATCAATATTGAATTAAGTCGTTTGGCAGATACTTTGCGGGTTGTATAAGAGGACGGCAAGTATGAAGTAAGTACGAATTCACAGAGTCATGAACGCACACACCTGATACTCACAAAGTTGAAGCAATCATGTTGAAAGCAAGTAGAGTCAAGCGGGTCCACCCAAAGTGCAAACACATAACCACACGTGCGTGTCATGCACGGATAGCAAATATGCGAATTCTCCCAGAACTTCTCGAAGCAATCATGGACAAAATAATTTGCAGAGTGCAATTGATGTTATGAAAAACAGATTGAAAGAATTACTACTAGCCTCCCCGACGCGTTTCGGCGGCCGCCATGCCACGCCGTCATCATCAGAGGGATTCCACCGACATTCCCGTACTAACCTAGCTGACCTCTAACCCACTTCGGTCTGCTAACCCCCTTTTTTTGTTTTTTTTTTACTCTCTGGACACCGATAGGTATCGCAGGCCGTCAGACCTGAAGAGAACAAACAATTGCGTTGGACTCCATTTATACCCAAAAACAAAACAACACACTATAGAAACAGTCTCCGTCTACGAAAAGTCGCAGGTTCGAGCCTGCCTACCTGAAAATTCCCGGTACGGCCCGTGTACCTATCCCCAACAAACTCCAAGCCCGTACGGCTAAAACTGGGCCCAATCCCGGATTATCTCACCTAAAGGACAACAAAACGGAGAACTGTACCAGTCTTGTTCAAGGTAACCCGACCGCGGGCCGGCACACTCAAGGCGTAAGCCCTACTCTACTGCCTCCACAATGAAGCAAATCATAGGTCAACCAAGTACAAAGTACTACAAACAATACAAGATCATACAAAAAAAGGATATCCAGGCCCCTCCCTGCACCCCTCCCTGCATGAACAAAAGGCAACAGGCAGGTTCCCTATCCCAATACCCAGGCAAGTGCCCTATACCTCAACATTCATTCAGAGATACAAACAAACAAGTACTAGGAAAACTACATACTAAGTAATTCGACAGTGCACTTCTATACGTGGTCCTTTCGGAAAGCAAACCGCTTCAAAACCTTCATGAAGAAATCAGCCGGAAAATCTTTCTTCATTAGTTCCTGTGTCAGTGCCCGCAACCTTTGCGGAATTTCAGATTGTATCATAGTATTGCGATCAATCCGGTGCAGGTAACTCCCAACCACCGAACTTTTCTGCTTTTTGCAGCCCCATGAAAAGTACGATTGCCCACATTGGATCTGAAGGCGCTGCTCAGTCCAATGAGTAGCTTCATTCTTAGAAAACTGCACACTGCTGACAAAAGGATAACTGGTCTTGGTGATGATCTGACAGCCAAGGAAGTCAAAGGTTCCAGAGCCGTCATTGGTCTGCTTCAAGGTAAGCTCAGCAGGGTAGCACTTTTTGAAGGATGCTAGAATCGCCTCCTCCTTCTTACCCGCATCCTTTACCGCGATTGTCAGCATCACATCGTCGATCAGACGAGTACCAAAAATCGATCTACAATCCCTCCCCATACTCTGCAAAAATTGATATTCAGCGTAAGCGCATAAAATGCACGCAAGCGGTGGGCTAGTGGTTTTCCCCATGGGGATCCCCACTATCTGCTTGAGTAGTAACCCAGTGGCGAATGTATACGTATGCGCCAGCTCTGGACGTACAAAAGTCGCCATCTGCCGCAGGTCCAAGGATCTCCAGTGGTCAGCACCCGTGGTTAAACCAAAGGAGGCCCCCTTACCCCTGGGGTTCACTCTGACTGCAGTCCTTCCTTTAGCCATTGGCAAGTGGAATTCAAACATCCAATCAACAGCTCTAAGGATCTCAGCGTGCAGGAGGCGACTAAGCATTTCTTAAATGCCAAAGGAGAAGGTTGACTTGACACAGTGTAATCATTGTCCAAGTGAAGCAGCTTGAGATTCACTCCCGATAATCGGTTCGCTAAACTGGAGACAGACATGAGATTGAAATGCCAATTCTTCGGGAGTGACTTCAGGAGGAAGTTCAGACCTTGAGAAACTACCTTCCCCGTGCGCACCGTAAGCTCTTTGAAGGTAGGACAGATCGATCTGTATCTGTCCAAATCCTTCTGTTTTGGTTGGACATAAGCAGCACCAGACTCCCCAGCCTTATCCCGACGCACAAACTTGGCCAGTCCAAGGCTTTCAACATCTTCCTTTATTTCCCTCATGACCTCCTGATCAGAAACCTCCATGATACGATAACCAGGACTCAGAACGAAAGTAGACGTCATCGCATTATAATATAGAACGGGGCACATGGCCAATGTCTCTCCTGGATTGCGATCCAGGGGAGACAATACCAGGCCTTGGAGACTGGCAGAAAAATCTTGCACATATTGCATATTGAGATGGACATCAGGCCCGCACGATACGGCGCTCATGCAGCGCTGCAAGTCAGCAAGCGGGATGCACGGAGGTTTCCCCTTCCAGTCCTGCCAACTCCGAAAACCATCACAGATCTCTTTCTGCAGTAGCCCCAATCGACCAGGACCCACAACCTTGGGTACATTCTCAGCATTGTGCACCAACGGGTGAGAACCTTCCAGTTCACTAAGCCGAAAACGAACATGTCCTTCTGAGCGAGGGAGAGACATACCTGTACATGTACAGGTCAGCACGCTGCGAGCAGCAAAGGCTCCCTGATTGTGCATAACATCCGATACGGACGGGTTTTTAACCCAGACAACGGACCTTTTTTCGTGTTCGGCTTAGAAAACACTGTGGTAATTCACTTGACATTAGCGCATCATTCACAACTTTTAGAACCTCGGACACTTTTATACAGTCATCAAATCGCAGACGGAAAATCGGATCAGAGATCAGACTCAGATCGAATCGTTCACGAAAAATTCTGGAGATAATCCGACCCAAGAACTTTCTCGTAGACTTCCTAGAAAAATCTTCAATAGCCTTGTAAAGTCTCAGTAACGATCGTAAATTCCACGAAAAAACATCACCTAGCTTCTGTGGATTTCGCAAAATTTGGATGAGCAGAGCTTTTAGGTAAC